CAGCATTTGGGAGGCAGAGGAAGGCAGATCTCCGTGAGTTCAAGGCTAGCCTGCACTATGAGGTCCAGGGCTACATAGAGAAACCTTGTCTTGAAAAACCAAAATGCTACTGATGATGATGATGATGACAATGATGATGTAATGTCTGTGGATAACCTATGGGAGCCTGTGGTAACCTATGGAAAGCTGAGCTGAAGATAGAACTTATGGCACTGTTAGCTACAGGACATGGATGAGTCCGTTCTCTGGCCTTGGGGACAACTTCAATGATGCCAAGAACTTTTGCAACAAAAGTCACATTCCCAAGGTCAAGAAAGACTGGGTGAATCTGAGATCAGGGCTTCTGGGACTCACACTTCTGCAAGTGCAGCAGGAAACAGGGATTCCCCTGTAGCGCTTTAAAACTCTATCTACTTCCAACCCCCCAACTCTATGTAGGAGAGAGAAGGTTAGTGGGGAGAGAGGGCCCCTTTACTTCTCCCAGATGGGTCTTTTAGGGCTCTACCAATCTCTCAACTGCAGAAACACCCTGAAGCATTTCTGTTGTCTGTCTGCCCCAAACCACCACACCGTCTGTGTCTCGGGTCTCTCCAAACTGTTACACGCCACACACCACACATCTTCTCATACACACGCTTCTCATTCTGGGCTCTCATGTTTATACTCTCAGAGTCCTAGATCATGCCCCTCTCCTTGTGGTGGCTGTAACCAGCTGGCAAAGCCAAACCTCGCATGAGACAATTAACAAGTGTGGACAAATTACAGAGCAACTAAAATCCCACACTTGGGATGAAAACAAAAACATATTTCCATCAAGTACAAAAAACAAAACAAAACAAAACAACAAACCAAAAGTTCCATTACATTCCCTAACTCTTGATGGACACATGGATAGAGAGTCAGCACTTTGCAACATCTGTCAAACTCCAGAGGCTGTAGCAAGGCTCTGAAAGGACAAATAGGATGGAATTTGTTTGTCACCATGGCAGCAACTGGTCCTGAAGGATGCTGAAGGGGTCATAACCTACAGTGAGGTGCACACCAACCCAAGGCTTCTGCTGGCATGGGGAGTTGACTGTCAGCCTCTGAAGAAAATGTCAGGGCACCAGTGTGGGTTCTCCGTACTGTATGGACCAAAGCAATCCTCTTCTCTTGAGGTGAACAGTCACTATCCGGCCACCAAGCTCCCCAAACTGTCATGCTTGAAAGAACTGTCACTCTCCTGCTGTCTGTGCCTGTGACAGGGTGTGGTGGCCTTTCCTGCTCACCTTCCTCCTACAGTGGAGTTTCCCCTGCTGCGGTTTGAAGGTGCAGTGACCCCTATAGCTCTCAGGTTCACTCAGTCTCCTGCGGTCACCTTGTGTTTGAGGGCTGTAGAGCCTTGAGGAGGTGGAGCAGTGCTGGGGGAGGTTTGTCACCGGGGAGAGGGCCTTGCAGCTCTTAGCTGGACCACTTCTTGTATCTCTCTGCTTCCTGACTTCACAGGCAATGTGAGGAGATGCCTCATGCTCCTCCCTCGGTGCCTTCCCCGGCGTGACCGTACCCTTTACCCTTTCAAGTCACAAGTCAAAATAAAATAAAAATAAACAAACTAAGGACTCCATTCAGATACTGCAGAAGCAAGGAGCGAGGCATACACACGCCAATCAGGGACCTGAGGCTGCAGTTCATTCTTTTTCTCTAGTTCGGGAGACTGAAGTCATGGCCTCTGGTGTCTCTGAATAAAGTTCCCTGCCACTGAGCTACACCATCCCTCTGTTTTCATCCTTTTTTTTTATGTTTTTAAACAGAGTGTTGCAAAGTTGTTTAGGCTGATACCAAACTCATTACAAAGACTGGGTAGAACTTAAATTGCCATCTTCTAGTCTCAGTATCCCAGGCATCTGAGAATAGACACACCGCCTTGCTGGCTGGGATTCACTTTGTTTCCCACCTTCACACCACAGACAGACAGACAGACAGAGATACAGACTCAGACACACACACACACACACACACACACACACACACAGTAACTAACCATGGTGACTCTTTGCTTTGCTTGGAATACCCATCACTGATTGACTGATGTTCAGAGTTCTCCCTCGGTGGTTGTCTGCTCTTTGTTATTTCATGGGTTCTTCTTTTTTCCACCTTTTAATCCCCACTCCCTTGCCATTTACTCCCTAATACGACATAGGAGAGAAAGAAGGATCTATATGGAGAGAGATCCCTGAATTCAATTTCTTTCCTTTTGTTTCTTCTTGGAGCACAACTACTAACAAGCTACATACAACCAACCTCCCAGAACAACCACCAACCACCAATATAACCCTCTATTCACTTAGTTCTATATATTTCCTTTCTTAAAAAAAAATATTTATTTGTTTGTTTGTTTTTTTAATTATGTACACAGTGTTCTGTCTTCATGTACACCTACACACCACATCTCACTATAGATGGTTGTGAGCTACCATATGGTTGCTGGGAATTGAACTCAGGACCTCTGGAAGAGCAGCTAGTGCTCTTCTAAAGTATGGGCCCATAAAAAGAGAACTGATGTCTGCTGGTGAAAAAGAATGAAGCTAACGAAAAAAACAACCTATCGGGGCTCTAGCATTTATGTACCCTCCAAAATGTTCCCAGAATTAGAAATGTCACACAATCGCAGGAACTGTCTGCAGCCGGCAAAACCACGCCTCTGCTAGAGCATGAGGCAAATCCTAGTCAGCTGCTGTGGAGAGTCCCAAGCAGCCCTCCATCCTATACCTGGGATTAAAATGAAAACACTTTCTTCTAATAGTTCTGTGTTTTAAAAAGAACCAAAATTCTGAAATTGTCACTGCAGTTGCTCTTTAAACAGTTCCCCAGTTCCTCCCTGAACTAGCATCATGCCTTATGTTCTGCCATCTTGACTGGTATCTACCCAGAACATCACTGCCAGATTTTCCCACGTTGTCTAACTCTTTCTAGACCTACCGTGATGTGCAATGCAGAGAAGACATTTGACTCCACCGTGCATTTGTCACGAGTGAGAGAGACGGCACCTGTTGCACAGGGATGTTTAAGGATTGGAGTGATGACACAGGTAGGGCAGTGGGAACACTGCCTGTCACACTGTGCATTTACCTCTGTGCCAGGTGTGACTCTCCCACCAGTTCATTGGTCCCATAGACGCCGCTTTCACAACAGCTAGCAGAATCCCACCATGACCTCCTTCTACCATTTCCTCTTGATTGGGAAGTCAAGTCTTTGAAATGGTTGGGATCCCCCAAAACACGTGCAGCCTAATCCCTTGCCTCCTACCCTCACTTTCTCAGCCCCACGGTCCTCTGTTTTCTTGAGTCCATCAGCTCTTTCAAGCTCTTCACAATGGTGTTTGTTGCCACACTTGCTTTCCTGCCCCCTTTCCCACCATTTCTTCTCGCTGACATCATCTGAAGAGCCTCCCCTCCCCTCCTTCTGTTCTGTGTCTGCTTTGCTACTCTCTGTTATTACAATCACCTCCTTTTGACTTTTCTCATTCTTGGGCAATTTCATCTCTTGCTTCCACTAAATTTAAGCTCCAAGAGTGTAAGGAGAGAGTGAATTTTCCTTCTCAGGGTTTCCAGGGGCAGCAAGGCCTGACAGAGCCGCTTCTCAGGTGTGCTTTATAGAATCATCCAGATGTGTGCTGTCTATGGTGACGGTGAAGACCTGCGGGCATGAGAAGGGGCAGCAGCGGGTGGATGGAGCAGGACTGGAAGGGTCCCTGCTCTGCACGGGCTTTGTGCTGGCTAGTTTTAACTGTCAACTTGACACAGCTCCAACTAAATCTCTTAGGAAGAGAGTCTTAATGAGCGATTATCTGTATCAGGCCGGCCTGTGGGCATGTCTGCATGGGTCTGTCTTGATTCTTAGTTGATGCAGGAAGACTCAGCCCACTGTGTGGAGCACCATCCCTTAGGTTGGGGTCCCAGAAGAGTATGAGAGAGGAAGACACTAGATGAGAGATGTACGGGTCCTTGCACGGGTTTATCCTCTTGTTGATGCTGTTTTCTAAGTCTATTTTATTTTGGTTCCTTCTGCCTCTGCCTCTCTTCTCCACTCCAATCCCTTCCAACACACCAACGCCAGGTAGAAGAGAAAGAAGGTTAATGGAGAGAGGGGGCATAATTCTCTATAGCTACTTCCTACTGGTTAGTGTTGTCGAATTTCTTGGAGCAAGTTCAATCTTCGTTTCAGATCTCCAACTTCTTCTCATCAAACTGCATCAACAGCAACAGGAGCAGCAGAGGAAAAGCCACAGCTTCTTTCTTGGAGCCTTCCAGCACTCCCTGGGCTCGGGCCTGTAGGCTTAGATTTGATGTAGGGTTGTTAAGTACCTTTACCTCCCTTCCACCCAGCCCCCGCAACCTTAGGTAGGAGATTGGTAGGGAAAGGGGCTGTGGTCCGATTTTATCTACTTCTTGATGACTGGGGTCGATGGGTCTTTAGGGATCACCATAATCCGTCGTCCAGATGCCAGCAGCCCAGTTCAAAGGCCAACACCAAGCAGCGACATGTGGTCAGCAAAAGGCATAGAACTCTGAAAAGCTCCACGGAGCATTTCGCTCTGAGAAGTCAAGTGTTGAAGCACCAAGATCAATGCAGTGATGTTGATCCAAAGAGTGATATCTCACTGCACCCGAGCCTCTGTATATGTCCTCTCCTCAAAGTCCACCCATGGATGTTCTCAGCTGGCCGAAGTCATGCTCCTCGCATGTGAGAGCTCACAGCAAAACATCACACTATAAAACTCGGTCTTCAAAGAAACCAGAACCTTCCACTTCACTGGCCTTTATCCCCTCTCCAGAGTGCTCTGTCAGGATATTCCATCACAGCAAGAGTAACAAACCTCGGCGGTCTCCCTGTGCCTCAGGTGATGAGGACGGAGCCGTGGTGTGGGCAGGAGGGAATTAGAGGTGAAAGAGCAGAGTTCCCGGCAGGCGTCGTAGTTCCTCGCAGACAGCCTGTGACCCAGTGTGTCCCTGTCCCCACAGCACATTTTCTGTTGCAGCTGAAGGCTGAGTGCCATTACTTCAGTGGGAGGGAGCATGTGTGGAGTGCGACCAGGTTCATCTATAACCAGGAAGAGTTTGCCCGCTTCGACAGTAACCTTGGGAAGTTCCTGGCAGTGACTGAGCTTGGGGGGCCCATCGCTGAGGACCTGAATAGCCAGAAGGACGTCCTGGACAATTATCGGGCCTCAGTGGACAGGTGCAGAAACAACTACGACCTTGTTGATATCTTCCTGCTGAAGCTGAAAGGTGAGCACGGGGCGGGGTGTGTACAGGTTAAGGGGTGTGTATGTGTGTGTGAGAGAGAGGCAAAGACAGACAGAGACAGAGGAATTCTGTCACGTGTGCAGAGATCCTAAGACAGCCGTCGTGAGCCGCCATGTGGGACTTGGGAACTGAACTCAGACCATCTGTCTTTACTATTGAGCCATCTTTCTAGCCCTAAATGTAATGACTTTTTAGCTTTTTCTTGCCTTTCGGGCCCCTGAGAATCACCTTTCTCTGCTCCTGCTTCCCAGGAAAACCATTCCTGCCTGAGCTGCTTTAGGTGTATGTACTTGAGGTCCTGTACTCATGATCCATCTACACTGCTTTAAGCCATATCGAACTATTTCCCTTCAATAATGAATTACTGCTCCATCTATAACATAAGACCTTACAGTTTTCCTCAGATCCGGTAGGCCCCGCTGTCAGGATTAATTTGAGGGACAGGATTGGTAGGGCTTCAAAGATGTGACTCACTCTCACCCTCTCTCTCCTCCAGCTAAGCCCAAGGTGTCTGTGCACCCTGCAAAGACGCAGCGCCTGGAGCACCACAACCTCCTGATCTGCTCTGTGAATGACTTCTACCCGGGCGACCTTGAGGTCAGATGGTTCCGGAACGGCCAGGAGGAGAAGGCTGGGGTCTCGTCCACCGGCCTGATCCCCAATGGAGACTGGACCTACCAGGCCCTGGTGATGCTGGAGACGGTTCCCCAGAGCGGAGAGGTCTACGCCTGCCAGGTGGCGCATCCCAGCCTGAGCAGCCCTGTCACCGTGGAGTGGAGTGAGTGGGGAAGCCCTAGCCCTGGGAGGGCCCGCCCACCAGGAGGGGCATGGCCCACCTCCGCCTCTCAGCTTTCTCTGGCCCTGTGAGGACCCGCCCACCAGGAGGGGCGTG